ACGCACCTTTCCTGATTTTGAACCGTGCACTATTCTCTGTTCTTTCTGAACCACTGACTCTTTTTCTATGTACAGGGTCCTCAGGAGCACAATTAAGTTTTCTAGAATTCCTGTTCTTTGTAACATTTTCCATAATTTATTACAATACATGCAATCAAATGTCTTTGCATAGTCAATAAAACACAGGTAAACATCTTTGTGATGTTATTTGCTTTCAGCCAAGATCCATCTGACATCGCAATGATATATATCCCTTGCTCCACACCCTCTTCTGAATCTGGCTTGAATTTCTGGCAGTTCCCTATTGATGTACTGCTGCAACCATTTTTTAATTATCTTCAGCAAAATTTTACTTGTATGTGATATTAATGATATTGTTTGGTAATTTCCACATTCTGTTGGATCACCTTTCTTTGGAATGGGCATAAATATGGATCTCTTCCAGCCAGTTGTCCAGGTAGCTGTCTTCTAAATTTCTTGACATAAACAAATAAGCGCCTCTAGGGTTGCATACGTTTGTTGAAACATTTCAATGAGTATTCCGTCGATTCCTGGGGCCTTTTTTTTTTTTTTTTTGGTGCCAATTCCTCTAGTGCAGTTTGGACTTCTTCCTTCTACACTACTGATTAGTAATAATATGCTACCTCCTGAAATGGTTGAACACTGACCAGCTCTTTTTGATACTGTGACTCTGTAACATTCTCTTTTGATGCTTACTGCATTGTTCAACATTTTGCCAATAGGATCCTTCAATATTGCAACTCAAAGCTTGAATTTTTCCTTCAGTTCTTTCAGCTTGAGAAATGCCAAGTGTGTTCTTCCCCTGTGGCTTTCTAACTCCATGCCTCTGCACATTTCATTATAATATGCATCTTCTCGAGCTGCTCTTTGACATCCATTTTGGTCTTTTCTTCTTTTCTTGTCTTTTTAATGACCTTTTGCTTTCTTCATGGATGATGTTCTTGAGGTCACCACACAAATCATCTGGTCTTTGGTCTGTGGTGTTCAGTGCATCAAATCTATTCTTCAGATGGCGTCTAAATTCGGGTAGGATAAAATCTAGGTTATATTTTGGCTCTCATGGATTTCTTTTAATTTCCTTCGGCTTCAACTTGAATTTGCAGAGGAGCAACTGATGGTCTGTTCCATAGTCAGCTCCTGGCCTTGGTTTAACTGACGATATTGAGCTTCTCCATCACCTCTTTCCCCAGATATGGTCGATCTGATTCCTGTGTATTCCATCCGGTGAGATCCATGTGTATAGCCACTCTATATGTTGTTGAAAAAAGATATTTGCAATGAATAAGTCATTGGTCTTGCAAAATTCTATCATGTGATCTCTGGTGTCATTTCTATTACCAAGGCCATATTTTCCAACTACCAGTGATTCTCCTTTGTTTCTAACCTTCTCATTCCAGTCACCAGTAATTATCAATACATCTTGATTGCATGTTTGGTCAATTTTAGACTGCAGAAGTAGGTAAAAATCTTTAATTTCTTCATCATTGGCTTTAGTATTTGATGCATAAATTTGAATAATAGTCATATTAACTGGTCTTCTTTGTAGGCATATGGATACTCTCTATCACTGACAGCATTGTACTTCAGGATAGATCTTGAAATATTCTTTTTGATAATGAATGTGATACCATTCTTTTTCAATTAGTCATCCCCTGCATAGTAAAGCATAAGATTGTCTCATTCAGAATAGCTAATACCAGTCCATTGCAGCTCACTAATGCCTAGCCACCACTCGTCTTGTCAGTCTGTCATACTGTGGTGGCTTGTGTGTTGCTGGGATGCTGGAAGCTATGGTACCAGTATTTCAAATACCAGCAGGGTCACCCATGGTGAACAGGTTTCAGTGGAGCTTCCAGATCAAGACATTATGGCAAGTCATTATGGAAGGCTGCAAATAATTTTATGAAAATATTGTTCATGAAGATCTTAGCACTCATTCTCTAATGCATTGGTCTGAAAATATACATATAGGTGGGCTATTGCTGGTGCTGGAAGAGATTAGAACTTCTGCAGGTGGGTTTAGGCAAAATGAATACATAGACAAACAAACCAAAATCAGATGGTTTCTTCCTAGCTGTGTACTGACTGTGAAACCTTGGAAGTATCAGCACACATTGAGAACTCGATAAATTGAAACACTAACAGTAGTGTCATTTACTGCATATAATGCTGCTGCTAATCGCAATAAGAGAACCACGTTGGAAAAAAGAAGGTTTATATCCATTACATACTAATAATTTGCTTAGGGTTTACACTTAGGCATCAAACTCAGAAAAGTGGAACAGAACCTATTTAGAAATGGGATTTAATCAGACTTACTCTTCCTAAGCTTCAGATTGTTGAGATACATTTTAGTTATCTCACCAAACCAAATCCACTGCCATCGAGTTAATTCTGACTCATAGTGACCCTACAGGGCAGAGTAAAACTGCCCCATAGGATTTCCAAGGCTGTCAATCTTTACAGAAGCAGACTGGCTCATCTTTCTCCTGTGGAGCAGCTGGCGGGTTCCAACTGCTGACCTTTTGGTGAGCAGCCAAATGCATTAACTCACTGTGCCAACAGATCTCCTTCTTAGTTATCTAGTTATTCTATAGAAGAAATACCATAAGTGTGAGGCTTTAATGAGCAGAAATTTACTTGTTCACAGTTTAGGGGCTAGCAATCCCAGTTCAGGGCTCCTTGGCAATCATAGGCCGTGGATCTGCCACTCTATGCGTGCTCACTTGCTTAATCTGCTCTTCTATTTCTCAAAAGAGATTGACTAGCAATTGGTCAACAGTTACTTTAAAACAAAGATGTGAATGTGCAGGACATGGGAAGCAGACACATGGCAATGGCACAGCCAGAACGGAAGTCATGAGAATGGTCGCATTGTGAGGAAGGGGACCGATGTCACTGCAAAATTGGTGTAAGAATTGTTGAATGGGAGCCTAACCTGTGGTGTGAACCTTGACCAAAACACACAATAAAATCTTATTTCAAGGAAGAGAGACAGAGAGAGATTGACTTAAGACACACCCTATACTAATCCAGCCTCATTAACAAAGACAACCCGTTCCCAAAAGGGCTTATAACCACAGGTATGGGTGTCCCAGTTTACAACTCATATTTTGGGGGGACACAGTTCAATCCATAACAAGAAGTTAACAATAGACTTAGTAGTTTTGTCACTTGAAGCTGTATATAATTTTTTTTAGGAATCAATGCACTCTTTTTTTTTTCCTTATTGTAGGAATCAGTTCATTTCCTTATACAATTTCAGCTTCAAATTCCGTCTTCCTACTGTCCTCAGCTATCTGGGTACCTCATTTTTAGAGGTAATGCTGTTTATGCTCTTGACTCTGTTAGGCATGTCTGTGTCACGGTACCATGAACCTTCCCAAAATTCCCAGTACCCCTTTCCCCCAACCCTGTGATCTTAGTTTTCTCATGAAATCGTCTCCTCCAGAGGCTGGAATGTGGGGAGGACTTCGGGTGAACACGGATCCCTGGCTCCGCCAGGCCACATATGTAATCAGAAGGCTGCCTGCAATTTGAGTATTTCACAATAATTGCCACATTTCCAGTAAAAATGAAATATCCAGGCCCCTGGCTGACAAAAAGCAGAATTCAGAGAGAAATGTGAATATTGCAACTTAGTTCAGCAGTGAAGATAGTATATTTTATACTACAGGTTTTTTTCTTTCATTTTGTAAAATCATGACTTTCTAGTAAATGACATCCCAGAAGATATTTATCAAAGCAGGAAAAGCAAGAAAGTTGTGAGAAGGGGCACCTTGCATTCACTTTAATATTGCGTCTTTTCTTTTGACATTTTCTTGCCTAGAGATCTAATTCCATTAAATATGTACATTTATTTTTTTGGCTGGAAGTCTTCTTCATGTATCTTTCAGATAAATCTTAAAAGTACATAAGGTCCATAGGGCATCATTTTTAAGTGCAAATGAGAAGCACAGTGGAATATTGTCCATGAGGTCCCACATTATTTAGATTCCTGACCAGCTTTACCTTGCACTGTCTGTGATAATGATAAGGGAAAAGGTAAGATTCCAATCCACCTTCTGTGGAGCACTGTCAAGTCATATTAGTCATATTTAATATGAGATCTCCACTTTCATTGGCTTCATGAGGCATTGTCATGACCATAGCTTTGCCTGATGGACAAAGTACATAGAAGTGTAACAAAGTGTCATGTCAGCACTGTACTGGGTAATATCCCATTAAGCCTTTGCAAATGGACATGGGTTGACTACTCATCATCACCATTATCCTTCTCTTGGGGTACAAGGGTTTGCTAAATCGGAAGAATTATATCTCAGGTTCTATAAGCAATGTGGGTGGATTGAGATGTTTTCTGGTAGACTTTTCAAGCCTACAACCTTTCATCTATAATTTCTTTGGTTGACTTTATGCAGCAGTCTGTACATCTTCAAACTTTTCCCCCTGCATCCATATGAAAGCAAACTCTCACCATCAGGATGCACAAACATACAATGTTTGGAATATCAGCTTTTGTCTATAGTCCCTGTGCTTGGGGGGAACTGCAGTTGAGGGGACCCAGAGTTCAAAATGAGGGGTAAGGATAATCTACACTTATTGTCTGTTATGTGACGAAACTACTGCTTCATTACTACATATTTTCTTGTTTTTATTTTTATAATAGGTAAGACCTTGCAGTAAGACAAAAGAAAATGCAAAGTCATTGCATAATTAAAGCTAGTCATAACATTGAGATGTGGGGCCCCTAAGGTGATGGCTGCTGGCTAGGCCCGTAGCACCGTAGGATAGCAGAGGAGGCCACAGTTAAGAGTAGTTTTTTCTTTGCATTCTGAAAACCAGAAACAAGTATCTGGGATAAGATTCTCTGCTTTCAATGACTCATCCAAAGACAATGGGGTTGGATATTAGAAAGACCCAGAAGAAAGGGGAAGAAAAAAAATCTCCTCACCCTAAACCCCAATAAACCATATTCCCAGTCCACCTTGGACAACTGGTTTGTCAAAGAAACCTTTCCATGGGCAGAGAGTTTAAGCTCTGTGTTCGCCTTGCCTAAGTCTTAAAGCTTTGTGTCTTCTCTGGCCGTTGGCTAACTGTAGCTGCTTTCAGTCCCTCCTTTCCCTACCCTCAAAGGGAGGGATAACTTGGAGTTCCTCCATGGTGGAAGAGATGGTGGGGAGGAGGGCAGAGCACGAAATACGTTGCTTTTGCAAAACTGTCGTTGGATGGATAGCCAGAACCTAAATGATACTGTTTTGGCTTCAAAAGGGTAAGCAGGTGTCTTCAAAGTCCCAAATGAGCTGTGTACAAGCTTGTACAAACAAGCGCAGAATCAGGCCTGTTTGTTATTCACACAAACAGAGTCTAAGCCATCTGAATCCCACAGTTCCCAGAATTCAGATGGTGCACAATGGTCCGTAATGAGCAGCACCTGTGCTTACCTCAATTACCAGACAGTTCTGAACAACGACAGAAAGGGCTTACTAGAATTTTTTTTTCAATAATAGATTTAGTTACGTCTTTCATAATTGGATTCAAAAGCTCAAAATTTCATTTTGCAACTTGTTCATAAAATTTGTATGAAAAAGTCTGGCGTTTATTCAAAAGAAATAGTCTATGAAGAAAAAAATTGCAAAACAGCCAACCGCTGGTAACTAAGCAGCCAAATTATAGTCCAAGCACTTGGCAAATACACCGTCTTTTTATTATTTCAGTAATTGAATTTCTGTTAAAGCGTGGAGCATAATTTAACATGAGGAATTTATTTATAATACAATAGTGTTTCACTAATAAATGCATTATTATTGTCACTTTTAATGGAGTCTTATGTATTCCCTCTGAGACTGTGTGGCAGACTTTGAGACAGCCACTGCACCAGTGTTGTTTGTAGACAATTGAATTAATTGGAGACAGGGTCATTAACTCGACCTGAATACCTCTGATTGCTTCTGTAAATAAGGTTAGAGAGTAAATGGCTAATCTTCATTGTCATTATAGATTCCTCTTCCATTTTCACACTGCCTTGTATATTAAGATCATTTTGCTAAGCAGCTTTTCAGACTCTCCTCATATTTACAGTATTGTCTTGCATGGCACATGACCATAATTGTATCAGACTTATATTACATTCCCCATATCTGTATAAAACACGATACTAGAAGAGAACCTATGTTGAATCACAACCCATAAAAACCATCAGACCAATAAATGAATAAACCACAGTGTATAAACCATCGTATTAAAGGAAATAAAGCCACAGAGCAAAAGTTGCTTGGGTCTCCTCTTGCAGATCTATGTACAACTGGGCAACACAATTAACACAGGACAGGATCCCAAAGAAAGAGCACAGCAAGGGAAGCACTGACTAACATCTCTTCGTGTTTCCGTTAATGCCATGCCCCTTGTTGCCCTTCTATAACAACACGAAGGCCATGCCGATGACAGGCACCTGAGTTCTTTCTCCTTGCTCATTCTACAACGGAGTTAGCTAAGAACTCTTTGAAATACAAACATTTAAAAATTTAAATATTGGACTTGGCATTTTTCATAACAGTATCCTGTTATTGATATGCAAGATATTTAGAAGGGGTTTGGGAGAACATTATCCCTTTATAATGACTTAAATAATTTCAAAAGAATATATGCTGGAAACATCAGAAGGAAAGGACCATTAAAAATGGACAGTATTATGCTGAGTAATGAAACATTTACAAGTAAGAGCCCGGGAAGAGACAAAGGAGGAGGAGAAAGAAGGAGGAGGAGAAGGAAGAAGGAGAAAATTAGGAAAAGAAAGAATAATTCTGAAATAATAACTGAAAATTTCAAAGAGATCACATATATTAGAAGAATAGTTCAACTTTACATGAACCGTGACTCCTACACCAGGCACGTTCATCGTCCTACCACCAACTGTAAACCTTATCAGTTTTCATGAGTTCTATGGATAATTGAAAGAGGTGGCATTTCCCTTGGATATTTAATGAGTCATGTCCAACATATAGAAAAATAACCACCAATGGAATTCTTTCAGACAATACTCGTAGCACTAATCTACTAATCTGCTGGGATGAGAATTTGAGCCACATATGAGTCTCATACATATGGATGATACTAAGACATGGTTAGAACCTATGTTGTTGCTGTTAGGTGCCATCAAGTCATCTCTGACTCAGAGCAACCCTATGTACAACAGAATGAAACACTGCCCAGTCCTGTGCCAT